CAGAGATTACTTTGGGGAATCTGTGGGATAAAGTTGGATTCGTTTTGTATAACAGAACACCTGGCAATCAGAATGTTCATTCATAAAAAGTAAATATATTTTGGATTGCTATAAACTTGATCCAGCTGCCTTTTTTTTCTTCGAATGATGGGACATTTTAAAGAATCAGATGATATTAACAAAGCCAATACAAGGCATTCTACACCCATCCCATACCTCAACCCCCAGGAAGAGTGAGCTGGTGTAGTGGCAGAGGACTTCATTCCCTGAGGTCCTAGGTTCAAATCATGCCAATCACCAATGGATTTTATCTAAGTGATAACGCCGCAGCCCCAAGGTCTAGTCTGAAGTAATGTGAAAAACAATCCCACGCCAGAGCCTATCGTTATTGAAAAAAATATCTGAACCCCGCTAAAAATATCTGTTCTTGGGAAAACCACCGGTACCGAGAACCAAAAATTTATTTTAGTCAGGAACCGGTACCGGTATCGAATTTGGTAATTGTTGTACTGACATGACTAATTAGGCCCACAATACTCTCAGCTATGTCCCCAACATAGTGATTTACTGTGTCTCTACCCATTTAAACTAGTGATAGACACAATGAATAAAATATGTTCACAAAATAAAGTGTCAAAACACCACGTTCACATGTTTTACAACACAACCGCAACTAATTATTATACAGTTTCCAGCATGTTACACCATTGTATGCATTTGGAATAACAAGTATCACGAACCAAAAAAGGTCCTCGTTAACCACTTGCTTGGCATTGCCCCGTCAATTTCACGGAGAACAAGATGTGCCAAAGACAATACAGAAGCCTTGATATCACAAACCGTGGCGGAACGTCTCGACGACGGCCTTCACGGCGAGAGTTTTGGACTTCCTGGGTCCTCTGGGATAAAGCAATGGAGGAGTCAACCGTTATATCCCTCCTTTCCACCAGTCAAGGAGTTGTTGAACGTTCTGTTATGAAAATAACCATAGAATTGAGTTGAAAGATGCATCTTGCAAAGCAGTTTTCTGTAGGCCTATGTGATTTTTTTTATTATTTGTACAAATAGGATTCGTATAGCATGCAAAATCTAGAGCGTGAAAATATTAATTTACCAACAGATCCCTTTAATTTGCCAAAATAGTTGTATAGCTACTAAATATCAAGGAATAAACCATGAACATGAAAACGTGCTCTTTACACGTCAAGAATATATTTTTCTGAATTTGTAAGGAAGTATAGTAGGTATGGAGAAATGCGGAAATGGAACCTTATCAAGAATTTAATATTTTTTCTAATCGTAGTCTACTCTTTAAGAAACAAAAGTTAGTTCTCAATTTTCTGGGAAATTGGTACACAGCACAGCAGTGGACAAAACTCTAATAATGCAATAATAGTTTAGAATGTATACAAGCAATAGTTGACAGGGTTGTTAAATTTCTCGATGCACTCTAATTAATTACACATTAAGCGAAGAACATTGACTACATTTCCATTCCACCTTGTTCTCAATCACGACTTCGGCGATTCCACGAACCGCAGATTATCAGGGAGTTTTCGCAGTCTGTCATTCCCGACCGTTATCACTGATCAGCCTATACGTGATAACGTGATAACGTGCGTGCGGGGAGTGGTCGTGACATTGGCGTTTCGGCGCGACTGCTGCGGGCGTCATCAGGTGCTGGACCCCGACTGCTCCACTTACAGGAAGGGTCCAAGGTTCGCGTAATGAAGTACACGATTATGACAGAGCTGTACTGATAACTGGTCATTTGTCTCGATTGGAGATTTGTGAAGGGTAGACCTTGTTTTGTTTCGTTCTACAAAAATGTAGGAGTGCTATTTGCCAGATTGATTTGTTATCTGACTTGGTAGTTAATTTAAGTGGGTATTGGAATAAATAAGTTTATTGTAAAGTGCATAATCATGAATGCAATTTTGCGTGATTCTATATTGAACGCTCTACTGTACTATACTATACTATACTATACTATACTATACTATACTATACTATACTATACTATACTATACTATACTATACTATACTATACTATACTATACTATACTATACTATACTACTGTGCTGTTTCCAGTATATTTTGTGAACTTTTTACTATAGTCTGTATGATGGAACCTGTCTACCTGGGACTGGTCAGTAGTGTATGTTATTTTGCGCGATTCTATTTTGAACGATGTACTATGATTCCCTTTCCATTACCAGTGGGAAATTTGTTACTATAGTCTGTATGATGGAATCTATCTTCTGGCTTTTCGTCTACCTGGGACTGGCCATACAGACTATAAATGTCAGTCATAATAGTAAAATTTGTCTAACGTAACTGTCTTGAAACGTAGAAAAAATACGATCATAAGCTAATTAAAGATCAAATTCATCAGGGTGTCTTCTTCATGGGCCTAAATAAATAAAAAGGTCTTTATTTAGCCAGCGTTTTTCAGATACAATTCAAAACAACTTTTGTCATCATTCTATTAAATGACGGGAAGTTGACATTTGTTAAGTAGTTTTCCGTAATAACATTCCTGAATAGGTATTTCCTTTTTCAACCTTTCCTGTGTGAGCATTACTCACAAGTCTGAATCTACTAATTTGCAATGAGAAAGTTCATTTAAGATTATTTATCGCCAGTAATAGATCAAACAAATAAGGAAGCACTTGACCGTATCCTTGTTAGATGGTGATGCACGTTTGAATCAAGTTGACTGACCTAAAACCATGAGAGTGAATTCTAAATGACACTGTTATATTTAATATGCGTTAATGTAAAGGTAGGTCTTGTATTTTCACTTGTAACAATCGCGCATCATACATACTTTGAAAATCCTTAAGGTCTTTGCACGATAGCGCCTATTGATCTTGGTTTATATTGTCAAATGTTCAAAAATTGTACTTGTTAAATGGATTTTAGATCTAAAGGCTTTTTATAACTTGGTCTTTCGGTACTCTTCAATGTTCTCGGTTCAGAAGAAAAAAATTGAATTTGCGTAGTTGTAAGAGCATTTAAGTTGCAGATTTGTGAAATACGCATGAAAAGCGACCAAACTTGTTCAAAGAATTTCAACAGTTTAATTTACTCTTGATACGAGAATGGGCCCAACAACATATAATCAGTAACTAAACTAACTTTACGTCTGTTATGATACCTTAACTATCATTCTACAAAGATGAAATGAAATGAAAAATCCTTTATTTTTTCAGGCAAAGTTAGGGCCACATGGCCCTTTCTTACACTTAACCTGACATTAAAAATATAACAAAAATAATGTGACATAGGGATAACTTAATATAATTAAACATAAAATATTTAACGATTCAAGTACCTACATATCTAAAAAAAACATACAAATTTAACAAATAGAAAAACACATTCACACACTCTCGCATACACGCATCAGCAAACGCGCAAGGTAACAGTAGCCCTAGGACACGCCAGCCGAGACCATCTTCTCAAAATAGAGCTTTTTCAGTGCCGCCACAAACTGGGAACGTTTTTCAAGGGTCTTAATGTGTAGGGGTAGGCCGTTCCACAGACGACAAGCGGTAACAACAAAAGCCCTGCCATAAGCTGTGGTCACATGATGAGGTATACGCAATGTGATCGAAGAATAACGAGACATTCGTGAACTACCCTGAGACACAAATTTAAAATCGGATTTGAAATATTTTGGGGAGCCTGTTTTCAAAATTGAAAAAACCAATGACAAAATTTTAATGAATCTTTGATCATTTAATTTCAGGATGTGTGCCTCAAGGTAGTATGGCGTGATATGCTCCATACGTCGCAGACCATATACAAATCTCAAACAATAATTCTGTGACCGCTGGAGCATACCCGCCTGAGTCGCAGTCAAGTCATTGATCAATGAGTTACAGTAACTGAAGTGGGGTAGTACAAGTGATTTGATCAAATGTAGTTTAGTGTGTTGTGGTAAAAAATTATGTAATCTTTTCAATGAATTTATGGAGGCAAAAACCTTTTTTCGTGTGTCCGTAACTGCTATGTCCCAAGTAAGTGAGAAGAGTTGAAAGATATACCAAGATTCTTGACATTGTCGTAGTATGGAAGTGCTTTGCCATTAACTGTGATTGGGTTTATGGAGTCTAAGTCAATTGAAGGTCGAAGTCGAGAATGGCTAATGACAATCGGTTTCGTCTTTTCGTGATTTAGTATCAGTCCATGATTCTCAGTCCAAGTAACAATTCAGTTGACATCTTCATTGATCCTTCTGACACAGTCGTTTTCGTTGTTTTCGGTGAAATGGTCATAGATTTGTAAGTCGTCAGCGTACATGTGGTGTTTACAGTTGACCAAGGTCAATTTTATGTCATTGACGTAGAGTACGAAGAGCAGAGGCCCAAGGATTGACCCTTGAGGCACACCGCATGTAACAGTCACCCAGTCTGATCTCGTGTCACCAATCTCCACACATTGCTGCCTATCTGACAGATAAGATCTCAGCCATTTAAGAGAAAGATATGTTAAAGATAGAAAGATATTTAAAGATATGTTTGGAAACAATTGTGTGGCATGAGTTCAACACTATGGCTGTAAGAAACAAACTCATTCATTTGACCATTGACTATTGGATACTGAGCTGAAGTTGTACCAATAGTTTAAGGTTTCACTTAATTTTCCCTGTGGAAAGAACTTGAAATATTTTTAAATTACCTTTTTTGTAGTAGCCATATTTTGTTCTTGCATATGTATACACTATTCTCAAAATATATTTTGTCACGGAAGTGTGGCATCTTCAGGGATTGTCACAGTGGCGTGTTCTTTTACTATTCTCCAATATTTTACCACGGATTGAAATGAAATAAAATGAAAAATCCTCTTACTATTCAGGCAAAGTTACTGCATTCACGGATTGTGGCATCTTCATAAAAAAAATAAAACTAGTCATATAACAGCATAACTTCTTCACTGAAATGCCATCAACATTTAAGGTTACATTTTATTCAACCCTTGTGGTCTGTTTCAGGTGTGGTGCTCACAGGTGTTGTCTGTTAGAGTCAAGAGGCCGAGTCTTGGGTTTGCCGAGACAGCAGAAGTAGCCTTCCAGACAGGACCTCCCAGGTTCAAGACCTGGGCTACGTTTGCCAGGTAACTTACTTGGCTAAGTGTTAGGTTTTAGTGGCGCTATCGAGAAGTAAACTATCTTCTTGAAGTTGTAGCTAGAATTGTGAATTAGTAGTTCAATTGGCCAACCGATAGATTTGTTACTGAAAATGGTCACTTATTTCACCCGCAAGGGCAACTTTAATAATATGGCATACGTTCCATCAAACGTGCTATGCAAAACGAAGATAAACAAACTATTAAAATCTGAAGTCTGCTGCTACGTTCCTGCACAGGATCTATGCCAGACCCAGATACCATCGGGATGTCACTTAAATTAAGGATGCTTTTAAACTAAAGGTGCTTTTAAATGACGTGGCGTCGCCCTGTAATCGAGCTACGTGGAAGTCGCGAATTTTGTATATATTTGTAGGCATGGTCTGTGGATGCAATACTCCGTGGTGTGGATTAACGTCCGCATTAGTGAGTACTACGACGATCCGCAGTACTATCCTGATAATGAGACCAATTCGTAAATTACAAGGCAAAAATATGGTTCGGATTCCACTACAAACTGTAGGCCCCTTAGTTGCCATTGGTTGTATGGGCTACTGTCTAAGGATCATGTCGGCCTTAGTCAGTAACAAGACAAGATCGCGCCACTCATTCTACACTTATCTCCATTCATACTTGGCTTAAAATACCTACCTTCGTATAGTCGTCATTTTAATGAAAAGTAATAAAGTAAGGTGGCATTAGATAGTTATAAGGCTAGGGGTTTGACAGTACCAAAATAGTAAAAAATCCATCGTGGTCGAAACACACAACAATAGTATCGCAGTCTAAAAAAGTCTCAATCACTAAATTGACTTTGAGATCACAAGTATTCTTTCTGTATCCAAAATCAAAGTCTATAGCTTAATAGCAATAAGATATGCCCCAGAATTCAAATTTTAGGGTTTTTATAGGAAAGGAAAGTAAAGTTTGTTCGAATTTTCTCGGAATAGTTAAGGATAAGAATCGTGCAAGATCATGAGTTTGATGCGAACTCATTCACCTAAGTCTATTTAATGAGTATTGAGTTGAAAAGCCAACGTTGAATCGATTGTTTATGACTCGGTTTAAATGGTATTTCATTATGAAAACTAGATCTACGTGACAGCTGAGTGGTTTCTTATGATATACTAGCAGAGTCCCCGTCCTTCGTACGGGGTTGGCATATAAGTATAAATGCTTATTGTAGTTATGGGAGAGGACACGGTTTAAGAAAATTTGGTCTTTTAATTTATACGGTATCCTATAGTGTCCTACAGTATCTACCATAGCCCTAATTTTCTACCACTGCACCTAAACCAGTTTTTAGTTAAGGAAAAACGACAGGAAGAAGTAAAAATAACAACCTGTGTTTAACTTCCCATTTTAAGAAACTGCATTTCGTATTGTGTTTCTTCTGTTCTTTCTAGTTTTATTTGTTACTTAAAAAGTTTAATATCTCGTTTAGACATTCATTTATTAATTAATTGATCTAAAGAGGAATGCATGAAACCACGGAATTTTATGGAGGATTAAACAATAATTGGCCATTAAATTTGAATGATGATTAATAACACGTTTCATCATAATGAAAAGACTTAGTGAATTCCTGAGGCTTGTTTCAAGCTGGTTACTGTATTTGATTGCATGCAGTTCGTGCATCGTGAAACACTAATGATTAATAATATTCAGTGTGTGTATGAAATTGCTTATGAATTCTAAATACAGCATTGCAAGATGAATAATTAACATATTGAGTAATGTTTGTAATTTGTCATTTTTAACACTTAGCAGCTTTTGAACGATTTTATTAGACAGTTTTATTTTAAAACTTTTTTATGAATCACTTGTTAGAATGATTGTTTACGAATTAAACCTGGATGGCTGAGAACAGTTTTTTTACAAATATACAGGGTGTCCCGTAACTCTCTGGACACTTGTATATAGCGTTATTCCTTAGGTCAAGACAAACACATATCACCATAGGAACATGGGTCTGTGGTGTCTAGTTTACCGAGTTTTCAATGATACCTTATTTGTTAAGATTGGATAAATAATAACAGAGAAACGTGTTGTTTTCGTAATGTATGACCACTTTTCTCCATTTAAACAATGCTAAACAACGTAAAAGGAGTATAAGCATTGTTTAAATAGAGAAAAGTGGTCATACATTACGAAAACAGCACGTTTCTCTGTTATTATTTATCCAATCTTAACAAATAAGGTATCATTGAAAACTACATAAAATTTACAAACTTTTTTGTATCTGGCAATTTTTGTGTAAAGTTAACGGTGTTCGTGAAATTTGGCATCAAATGTTTTAAATGGCCGCCATTTTGAAACGGTTATTGATTTTTTAGTATAATTTCTAACGATATTAGGTTTTAATAAGATTAACATTTTTGCAAAATATCAAAGCTGAATCTCAAACCATTTAGGAGTTATTAATGTTTTTGTAAAAACACATAAATGACGACAGTCGGTAAACTAGACACCACAGACCCATGTTCCTATGGTGAAATGTGTTTGTCTTGACCTAAGCAATAACAATATATACATGTGTCCAGAGAGTTACGGGACACCCTGTATATTTAAATCCGTTCTAACAACATTTGCTTACAATTATGTTAACTGAAATTCCTAATTCCTCCCAAGTAAATTTTCAAGGCGACGCATTCCAGCGGTGCTGATCGGAACCTGATAACTCAATCAAGGTCGTATTGAGATCAGAATGACCTACAATCAGTACGAGTGATTATCAGTAATCAGTCACTCATAGATTAGGTTGTAAGTATTGTGTGACTGACCAAGTGTGTGATTGTGGAAACTTTCAATCAGCTCGACAACAATGAAAGTCAATGTCGGGTCGAAGTAGGACAGTGGAGATTTTTTAGAACACTCCGAGATGCCTAATTACTAAATTGCTTGATAATTAACTAAGTAACGTAGTCTCGTTCGTGTATTATGGTGAAAGATATTTTCTTGTAGTTTAAGTGTCTTTCTGGACCTACACAAACATTTTCGGATGTGGATGATAAAAGTGTACTACAAAAATAGCAACGTTTTAAATTTGATGATACAATCAATTATGAATATTAACAGGTGTATCATAATACCATTGATGTTTTAATATTATGGTATATATAATTTGAAGTAATTTTTCATCCAAATAGTACATAATTTAAAGAGAGTCTCACAGAATATCTCGGCCACAGTTCTACTCTGTCATTTGTCAGTAATAATAGCTGACGTGATTAAACATTTCGTTATTGATAATAAGCAGTTCATTCAGTTAGGCTTGGTTAAGTTTCTTTATACATCCGGATAACTAATTGAAAGTATCACACTCAAATCGTGAGCTCAATTTAAATATGTTTTTTTTTATTCGGAGACTGGACAGAGCTTAACCATTGAAATAATGTATCTACTATACATCGTCAAAGATACATTCTAACTGATTCCAATATAACAGAATACATTTTTTAAATATATTTTAATCATATCGTGGGGGGGGGGGGGGTTGTGACATGTGGAGGTGTGAACCTTGGCACACTGTGTGTGCGTGTGTTAGTGTATTACCAGTATTACCAGTTGAGATAGGGACGCCACCTGGGTGCGTATAAACCAAATATTAGCGAAGGATGAGTGTAGAATGAAGTGAGATTCCGTGTAGCTTTGTTACTGACCAAGACCAGCTGTTTCATTAGCCATTTATTAAAAGCCCAATGATCAAGGTCGTGCGATGAGAGGTAGACGGAGTGTCCGAAGATTGTTGGGAGTACCTCAAGGTTGGATACTTGGTCCGTTGTTGTTACCTCATATCTGCAGCACGCCTCGCTCCGCCCATGCTAATGCATCGAGGCAAGGCTTTCTCGGAAAATATCTGAATAATTGGCTCTTTACTTGTTCATTGATAATTAATTATGGCCTTCGGTGGTTCCAGTTGTTGTAGTATATTATATTCACAGTTACCTTATTAGTTTAATTCCTCTCATCGTATGTTTATTTATCATTTTACAGTTTACTATTGTTGGTAACCAATATATATAAATACCCTTTCAAAAGTTTGTACTGGATTATTATAGAAAATGTTTTATTATATTTTATTGACTCCGTATATGTATTTAATTAAATAATCATAACAGCACCAAGAATAAAATAACCCACAAATAAATATCCAACAACGTATATAGAGAGATACATGAATTATTGCAAGGGGTTTTGTCTTATATTTTGCCACTTTATATTATGAATCCGCCATAAATAGAAATGTTTAAATTTGTTTCAATCATTAAAAGCAAAGTACTGAAATGACATTTTCCACTATCAACCTCTAACTTTTTTTCGCCCACTATCCTACTTGTAGCTCCGTTTGGTAATTATTAATTATAATACAGTTTTTATACTTTCACGTCTAAATTGAACATTCAACGCTGATTTGTATTTTGTTGTTGTTTTATATACTTGTAGGTTTTTAATTATTTTTTGAACAAAAATAGTAACTGCTTCATTAATGATAACTAATTTCGTGTTTTCTTTAAACCTCATACTTTTTTAATGTCCACACCCTTCTTTTAAAAAAAGCTGAAATGAAATGAACGCGAATTATTAAATATGTTAAGTTTTGATTCCTTTGACCTATCTTACTTAAGCCATAGATGAAGTAATATTTATAGATGTTTATTTATTCTATGCTAATGCTACCTAGGCTAATGCTTACTGCCCTTTGTCTTCCAAGAAAATTTAAATCTAAATTGATGACCTTTTTATTTTCATTGAGTCAAATTTTTAATTATATCATCTTTTAATTATTTTAGTTACTTGAATTGTATAATTGCATAGTTAATGATAATATTCAGATTTTTAAATGTAAAATTTCCAATATTTTGTTGTTAATGCTTCAGTCCAATTTTAAGATGTACCATACTTTAAACATAGTTCCTTAACACTACATACACCCACATGTATAATGATATAGGAATGAGCTTCATTTTAAATAGATTGGAATACAC